CGGCGTTAGGAGCCTGTATCTGACTGAAGCACATCCTTCAGGCCTGTCTGTATTCCACCCCCTCCCATTCCTAGACACTTGATCAAGCCTTGTACTTTCCCGTGAATGTGCTACCAGATGCTAACAGGTTTCCCAGGTTCCAGAGGCACCTGGAAGATCAGTGTTTTTGAAAACATTGTCTGTGGGCCACCTGCACCTGAATTCCCCGGCTGCTTGTTAAAGCCACAGACATGCTGAGTCACAGCCTCTGGGAACAGGGCCAGGGACTCGGCATTTTTAGAATGCCTATTCCCCACCCCACCCCCGCCTGGGCTCGGGGGACTCTGATGGACTCTGAAGCTAATGAACACTGTTGCCCAGCATTTCTTTTGCTCACCGGCACTATGAGGACCTTTATTGTGGTAGTCATTCCCACACTACTTTGTTACTTGTAGAGAGTTCTGCCAATTAAGATAAAATCGCCTGGCCCTGGCCAGGTAACTCAGCTGGTTAGAGTGTTTTCCCGGCACAGGAAGGTTGCGGGTTTGATCCCGGGTCAGGGCACAGACAAAAATCAACCAATGAATGCATAAATAAGTGGAACAACAAATTGATGTCTCCCTCCCTCTCCCTCTCCCTCTCCCTCTCCCTCTCCCTCTCCCTCTNCAGTGACCATCTGAAATTAAACCTGGCTTCAAGAGATGTTACCATTAAAAGTAGCTGCTAGTTTTCTATTTTTGATGATTGCCATGTGGCTACATAAGAGGAGGTCCTTGCTCTTAGGATAAAAAATAATAATTACTGAATACTAATTTTTATGCTAAGGACTCTCAAAGGCACTGGGTTCTTCTCTTTTAAGAAACTTATCCTTATGAGATTTAATCTATTATCTCACTATGTTATGGTAGACTTTGATCTCACAATGATTTTTTTCTTCTTCCTGCGTTTGACATATAGCTAGAAGTTACAAGAAGTGGCCACTACTGGTCTCAAACTTGTTTTATCTTCTTTTACCATAAAAAAGTATTGAATGCAAAAAATAGCTAAGAGTAATAAGTATTTTAACAAAGAAATGTTTAGAGAAAGGTAAAGCCAAACTCAGGAAAATACCTCTTTAATTTAAATGCTAAAGTAAGGATTGTGAGTAGTGCCTGGAATGAAATTTACTTGTGCTACCAGAATTCTTTCCTCATTGCTTATGCAAACTAAGAATGTGAGCAAGATTAGAAAGGGGATGTTTTAAATGGCTGAAAGAACAAAATGTGTCTGAGCAGCCTTCAGTGGTTGGGATACAGATTAACATACACATAAGAGGCATGCTAATTACAGGCACCTTATCTGGTCATGACAGCAGGTCCTCCAGGGCCCGTCTGTCACTTGGTGGAACTGGAAAGCAAGAAATTCCCTTTCTTTATAATTATTGTGTAATTAAGAATTGCACATAAAAAAAGAATTGCACAAATTCAAATCACTTTCTCATGGCATCACCCTAATTAACTGACTTTAGTAGATACTGATGTATAAAAAAAAAGGTGGTGACTAGGTTTGTTAGAGAGCATCACCCTTTATAGTTTCCATACTTCCTGTCCCATGCAGGAGGCAGCCAATCGATGTTTCTCTCACATTGGTGTATCCCTCCCCCCTCTTCCTCTCTAAAATCAATAAATAAAACAAGATAAAATCACATGTTATAATAAGTAAACCCTGAATCTTAGTGACTTAAAACAAAAACAGTTATTTCTCACTCATATCATAGCCCAGTGAGGGTATTTCTACTTGGGATCTTCTGTGGGGTTATTTAGGGACCAAGGCTCATCCTTGGTTCATCCCTCTTGGCCTTCATGGCCCTCTCCATTCAGCCAGTGGCTGAGAAAAGAGAGCAGCGATGATTCACGGGAAATCGATGGAACAGGTCTGGAAGAGGTGCCCATCATTTTGACCCACATTTCACCGGCCAGACTCTTACTGTTTGGGGTTCAGAAACAGAGTGATTTCTCAAGCCTATGCGGCCCTTAGTCTCTAGACTCTGTTCCCTTCTGTCTTTACTTGACACCCATCCAGCTCTTGCCTGGGCTTATCTCTCCCTTGTCACAAACCTTGCTGGGGTCAGCCAGCAGGAGCCGGCATTGCTCTGACCTGTCCAGCCACCTTCCCTAGAGCTGCCGGCTCTAAATGACAGTAGGTAAGTTTTACCACATATTTTGCTACTTTATAACATAGGTCTCCATCTTTCAGCCTCAGAGATCAGTTTCCACACTGGCTGCTGTCTGCCTACTAAACCAGTCCACATTTTAGGTTGTTGCTATGATAGCACCCCATTGTGAGATGCCGACTTCTGTATTAGTTCAGGTAACACAAAGGCTTTAGCAGGTGAACCCAAACTCTACGTGCTTCCCGAAATGTCCATTTCTTGCTCCCATCATACTCTAATACAGATGTTCTTGGAAGTGTGGGCTTCCACTTGGTCATTCAGAGACCCAGGTTTTTTCCACCTTGAAGCTCTGCCTTTCTGTGGATCCTTATAGTCCTCCCCACCTGCTGGCACTGGGGAGGGAGGAAGTATCCCTGTGGGATGTGCCTGGAAGTGGCCCACGTCACTTCTGCCCATATTCTCTTGGACAGAATGCAGTCATATGGTCACATTTGCTGCAAGAGTGGCCAGGAAATGCAGTCTGGCCACAGCCCAAGAGGAAAAGAGAACAGGTTTTGGTGTGCATACAGCAGGGCCTGCCTCTTGAGCCAGAACTGTCTGGACTGATGGAACAGTGACCAGGAACTTACCAGGGAGAATGTCAGCGGGCAGCCGGCCTCGGCTCTTGCGAGGATGCTATCGGGCAGTAGCTAGTAAGATCCAAATATGTGCAAATATCTTCATTAATGCAACAAACGTTTACACAGGTCTACTCTGTGCCAGGCAGTGGGCCAGACACTGGGGACCTGGAGAAGTACAAAGATCCCCCTTGGAGCTCGGGCGAATCCCCTCTAATCACATTCTTTGTGCTGGAAGCCAAGGGGCCAGAGGGCCTGGGGAGGGAGAGAGGAGCAGGGAGGGTTTTGAAACATGGCTGCTTTGAGTGCATCCCACAGCCCTAGGAACGCCCCATGCAGTTCAGCCTGGTTCCCATCACTAGCACGCAGTCTCTGCAGCTTATCGGATGAAAGGCAGTTAGAGGGGGAAAGGGTCACTGAGAGCAGATGTTCCGTTTATATCTGTCTTGGTTTTTCTCATAGGACAGTTTTCTCTCTCTGAGGCTGCTCCAGGATGCAGAGTTGTCACCAGTTTTTATTTGTCTCTGGCACTGTCCTTGGCCCCCTAGGTGGTACTGAGGGCAGCATAGGGTGGGGCCCAGAGCTGGGGCCTGCTCTTTTCACATTCATGGCCCTTTGTGTTAGAAGCTGCTGCTGGTGTTGACTGCACAGTGCACCCAGTGACAACTGAAGAGGTTGCCAAGATCTGGGCACACAGAGCTTTCCATCAACAGCCATTGAGCCCCTGCTCTGTGCCCGGCCTCTGTCCAGTGTGTGGACCCTCCTCTCATTAGAGCTACTCCCTCTCGGTAGTTCAGGGCGGCCGGGGGAAAGCTCTCAAAACTGCTCTGTAGGGCAGTGGCAGCCTTCTCCAGGAAGGTTTTCAAAATGAGCCGCGAAGATGGACAGAGAGGACATATTTAACATGGACCAGAACAGGCCATGGAGGGGAGTTTTAAAATTTCTTTCAGAGGTTTTATTTTGGTAGAAAATCATGTCACTAGAAGCAGGAAGGTATTATCTAGGACACCCTTCCAAGCTGCATCCATTAATGTGCTGCACATTTTCAGCTAAGGAAGTGAGAACTACAACAGGTTAAATTTCTCATAAGATTAATTCTGCCATCTCTGTGAAATGGTGGAAGCAGAATACCATTAGACTGTCTAATCTCATTTCTCTCACGCTGTCTTTCCCGGAGCCTATCAGATAGTGTCCTGGCAGAGAGGCAGCCCTGTGGCTGCTAAGCGTCAGCCGCTCTCTTTCTGAGCCTTACCACGAGGGCTGTAATTAGAAAATGTAGCCCACCTTTTAAGGGAGATGAGAAGGTACTAACTGTCCCTTTCTTTGCATGTCAGATCCCAAATGTTTTGGCTTTTTAAACATGTAATTCTTCTGTCACTTTAGCTTTTTATTAGCTATTTGCATGACATATTAAAACAAAACTTATTAAAACTGTTTGCATTTGCGGATCTCTGATGGTTTCATGAGTACTGTTTGGGGTCCTAACTAGTCAATAAGATGTGTCTTTTGAGTGTGTAACTATGTGTTTAAGATGCAAATGCAGGAATAATTTTGCCCTTGTTTTAATTGCTCTTCTTCAATAACTCTTGTGATTTTTCTTACCTGATTTAAGTCTCTTTTGAGGGGAGGAGGTGGGAAAGTATTAGCTACTGCTGTGTCAAAACTGAATATATTTGGAAGTTGGATATTTAGATATTTTTTTAGCCCTTGTCTTTTTCATTTTGTCATACTGTCATAAATTAGAGGGGGGTGGAGCCAACCAGGATTTTGAAGATTTTTTTTTCCTCCTAAAGTTTTATTTCTCCTATATAGCATCAAAAAAATGCTGGTTATTTTTATTGCAATATTTGGGACAAAGAGGCTCTCTTAATGAAAGATAATTGCAAGCTTTGTTCCTTGCCTCAAGTTTACTGCACGGTTTCTCTCCCCTTTGCTTGTACTGAAATGAAATTATAAACCACCAGTAGCCTTGGAAATTTCAATCGATTCCAAATGACTAAATATTTAATTCAATCACTGCCTAGACTTCCAGGGATGACTCGGGCGTTTTTCTTTTCACTGAGGGCTCCATGAGAGCCGGGCTCTGCAATGGCTGCTGAGGCCTGTGTCTGTTGCAAGGAGGCTCCCCTGCAGTGAGGAGCTGGGGCCAGCCTGTTCCACAGCAGCCCTTTTTTGCAAATGGTAGTCGATTTTTGCAGAAGGTTTGTGACCAGATCGCTATGTATAATACTGATGAAGCATTTTTGTTCCAGCTCTGTCTCGGAAGACCTAGGCTGTAGACGTGGGGATTTCAGTAGGAAACATTATGGATCTGTGGAGCTGGTAAGTTTACTCTGCCTGTTCAGTGGTGGTACATTGATTTGGATTTAGAGAGGCTCGCCAAGCTCATCAGATCTTTTGTTGTATATTTACTGTTAGACCATGTGAGGACAGTGTAAAGACTGGATGCGAATAAATGACTGTTAGAAAACTGTAATAATCTGATCATCTTCATCTGTTTTTATTGTTACGTACTTTTCATCTGTGCCTTTCAGTTTGTTAAAAACATGTGGCTGGGTATTTTTCTCTGTCAATGATATACATCATTTAAAAAATGACTTATGAATTAGGAAAGCTTTTGGTTTTTATGTTATTGTGTTCCTAAAAGTTTATAATCTAGTTTTGGAGGTTTGAATATTATTGAAATACATATTTTGATTTTTTTTTTTGTACCTTTGCTCTCTGGGTATGTGATGGGAGTTAGGATGTTTATGAGATTTTTTTTTTCCTGTTAAAAGTATACCTGTTGGACTAGATAAATGCCTGTAATAGATGATCAATATTTGGAATGAAATACATTTTCCTTAATGAGGGACATTGGGGTTTGTGTTATGATATTTAAAACTAGTATGCTTTCATTTTAAAAGAGGCATAATGAAGGCATATAATAGCCTCAGTTTTTTTTAAAGACAGAATTGTGATTTTTTTCCTAATCGCATAGAAATTTAAACGCATTTTCAGGAAAATGTGCTCATAAAATTCTCTTAATTATTATTTAACATTATTAAAAACATTAAATTTATTATTTCTATTTACAGAAAAATGAGTTGATTGGATCCATTTGCATAGTACCCAATTATCCCCCATTAATATAAGCTGCATTCTTACAGGGCTTCAGTAGGAGAAAAACCCCAGAGCTGTGTACCAGTAGCATCCTACTTGAATTCAAGCATATACTACAGGCTCGACTGTGCACCTGCCCAGGGCTGAATATTCTTGAAAATATAAAATAAGTAAAAGATGCTGTCCTTGTTCTTAAGGCGCTTCCTGCCCTTCAGCTGGGCTGATAAGATACATAAAATATCTAAAGAATTCATTTAGTCACACAAAAGACACATTGAATGACTCAGTGCCAGTTCTGGGTCAGACACCATAAACTCAGACCACCACCTCCCCTAAGGAGCGTGTGTGCAACTATAACTCAGGTTGGGAACTGGTAAATATTGTGAGAGGTACACTATAGGACTTTGCGGGGGTTGAGAGAAGGGAGGGAGCAGCCCATTGTGGCCAGGGATCTTGGGGAAGCGGCCTGGAAGGCCTCAAGGAATCTGAAGGATGTGGCTTAGTGGCAAAGAAGATAAGACAGTAAGATATTTTCCAATGTCGTGATTTGGGGCAGTGGTGTATTTGAAGGGCAGTGAGCACATGGTTCTGCCCAGCAGAGAGTGTAAAGCAGCAGAGCTTCGTGGTTATAAAGCAAGTAGGCTTTGGAATCAGAAAGGCCTGGGTTCCTATACCAGCTCCATCACTTGTTATCTCTGTGAACTTCTCTGAACCTCAGTGGTGCTTAAGGCCTGTGCTCTGAAATTATTCTGGTTTCATCATTTACTAGTGGTGTGATCTTGGACTTCTTTTGGCCTCAGTATTCTCATCTATGAAATGGGCATATTAACATTATCTACCTTATAGAGTTGTTAGAGGATCAAATGAGATAATTAATGCACAGAAGCATAATCCATGTTAACTAGCTATAGTAGTAAAGATGAAATGTGGTAGCAAAAGTAGAACCTTGACTCTCAGGTGAAGACTTTGAACCTGATCTGATAAGTAGTGTGGAGCTCTCATAAATAGTGGGAGTGGTGTTGGGGAGAGACAGCGCAGGATGAAAGATAGACCCTTTCTAGACTTGTGGAATTCGCAGAATATCAGACTGGAAGGTTCTTGAAAGCAGTGGTTTCAAACTTGAACAGGCATCAGAATGACCTGGAAACTTTATTAAAACAGCTTGCTGGACCCCATCCCCAGAGTTTCCAATTCAGTAGATCTGGGGTTAACCCAGAATTTTCCTTTCTAACAAGCTGCCAGATGATGTTGATGCTGCTGTTCCCAGGACCACACGGGAAGAAACCCTGCCTCTGGAGAATCCCAGACTAGCCATCCATTATCCCCAAAGTTCCCCAATCCAGTTGTTCAGGTTTTTATTTTGGAGCCATGACTTTGTGTGTGTAATTGACCTTTTAAAATATTGGAAAGTAAATTTTAAATACATTTTTAAATTCTATGCATAATGTCACCACCCTGCAGCAAGTGTTTTTGTCTCCTTTTGGTACCTTCTAGTCTTTACAGCTACAAATGTCCTTTCTGCACAGTGGTAATGAAATTACAGATTTCATTTTGCATTCCTCTTTCTCCATCTAACTGCATTTTGCAAATATCATCTTCTTACTATGTGGTCTTCGGTGTCTTTATTCTAATTGGCGCATGATTGCCCCAGATGGCGATAAATAGTTCTTTGTGTAACGGTTTCCTCCTTTTGTAACATCGGGTTGTCTCTAGTCTCCCCATGTGATAAATGACACCCAGTGGCGGTTGGCGTGGTGGAGATAAAGGACGTGAGTGAAGTCTCATTTTTGCTGTCTAAGGATCTCTTGAAATCCTGACTGCAGTCCGAGGAAGGAGACGCGTCTCTCACCTATGAACCGCGGAGGATTATTAAATTAAACCCTCGGTTATGTGTTATGTTTATGAGAACGTGAATTGAACTTTTCTTACACCTGGTTTGATGAATATTCTTGGGAATCTCAAAGGTTGTGGGGGTTACCCAGGATTCTGTGCAATTGAAATTTTCGCATATACTTGTCCTGACCTTGAACAAATTAGGGGGAAGCCCTCGTGGAGAACTGAGCGTGGCTGCTCGAAGGGCTCAGGTGTCACTTGGGTGTGCATTTGGTGAGAGCGTGGGTGCTCCGCGCCCTGCAGACTCACGGGGAGGCTCTCCGCCCTCACGCAGCAGCTGTTCGCTGAAGGCCTGGCCTGGGCTGAGGGGAGGGAAAGGCGTCCTGCTCTCCTGGAGCTGTGGCCCAGCTTTAGAAACCCGCTGCCGCGAACTGTGAGCCCGCAGCTGCTGCTTAACTGGCCCCGGCCGTGTTCCCTGCCTTAACAGAGGCCTGCCCAGTCCAGCTCCAGGGGGAAGTAATTCACCCGCACGAAGTGCAGAGAGGCCCTGGCCGCGTGTGGCTGGAAGCCACCAGAAGCTCCTCTGTTTCTGTAATGCCCCTGTGATTTCTCAGCTTCGCTTACCCTGTGTGCCTGTGCGGGTGCCTCTGTGCAGACCAGCTCCCCCTGACTGCCGGCTGCCTCTGTCCTGCCCATTTCTCCCAGCAGTGCAGCTTTCTTCATACTTTTTTTTTTTATTGTGGAAAAATATACACAACATAAAATTGACCATTTTTAAGTGTACATTCAGGGACATTAAGTACACTCAATCATGTTATGCAACCATCAATCACCACCATCCACTTTCAGAGCATTTTTTAATTACCCCAAACAGAAACCATCCCCATTACACAGTACATAACTCCATATCCCCTCCTCCCCGGCCCCATAACCTGTATTTTATTTTCTGTCACTCTGAATTTGTCTAGTCTAGGTACCTCATGCACGTGGAATTATATAATACCTGTCCTATTCTGTCTGGTTTATTTCACTTATCATAATATTTTCTAGGTTCATCTGTGGTATAGCATCTATCAGTGTTTCATTGCTTTTATGGTTGAATTATATTCCACTGTGTATATACCACATTTTGTTTATTCATTTATCGATGGATGCTGGTTTCTTACTTTTTAGCCATTGTGAATAATATTGCTATGAGCATGGGTGTACAGGTATGTGCTCAAGTCCCTGCATTCAATTCCTTTGGGTATATTAGCAAGGAGCGGAATACACATTTGACATTTCCACCAGCAATACACAAGCGTTCCAGTTTCCCCACATTCTCACCAACGCTTGTTATTTCTCCCTTTTTTATAGCCACACTAGTGGGTGTGAAGTGGTACCCCCTAGTTGTTTTGACTTTCCTTACACTAATGAGTAATGATGCTGAGATCTTCTCATGTGTTTATTGGCCATTTGTGTATCTTCTTTGGAGAAATGCTATTCAAATCCTTTGACCATTTTTTAACGGGTTGTTTGTTTTGTTATTGTTGACTTGTAGGAGTTCTTAATATATTCTGGATATTAATTCCTTATCAGATATATGATTTGCAAATATTTTCTCTTCTTTTGTGGGTTGACTTTTACTCTGTTGGCAGTGTTCTTTGATGCACAAGTTTTTAGTTTTCGTGAAGTCCAATTATCTATTTTTTTCTTTTGTTGCCTGAACTTTTAGTATCATATCCAAGAAATCATTGCCAAATCCAGTGTCATGAAGATTTCTCCATACGTTTTCTTCTTAGAGTTTTATAGTTGCAGCTTTTGCATTTATGTCTTTGATCCGTTTTAAGTTTTGTATGTGGTATTAGGTAAGGGTCCAGCTTCATTCTTTTGCATGTGAATATCCAGCTTTTCCAGCACCATTTGTTGAAAAGACTGTCCTTTTCCCATTGAATGCTCTTGATACCCTTGTTGAATATCAGTTGACCATGTATGCAAGGGGCAATTTCTGAGCTTTCTCTTCTGTTTCATTGAACTATATGTCTGTCCTTATGCCAGAGTGATGTTTTAAAATATTGATAATACCATGTCTTTTCTTTCTAAAAACCCTTCATTGGCTGCCCATTGCACTTCACATCCAGATCCTTCACGAGAGCCTGCGTGATCCCTGCCCTGCCCCACCTCTCATGCCTTCTCCCCTGCCACTCACGCACCATGCTCCAGACATCTGGCCTTATTTTGGTCTCTAGAACACATAGAGTTCTTGTCTGTTTCAGGGCCTTTGCACTTACTGTTTCTTCTCCCTGGAATAGGCTTCCCCAGCACTTCTCAGGGCTGGTCTCAGTTTAAGTGCCACCTCCTCAGAGAGGCCTCCCTGACTACCCTACCTAAAGTAGTCCCCCTCTCTG